CACCGACATCATTACTAAAGGGCTGCCCTTCGCCATGTTTGATGATTTCCGCTCCAGTCTTTGCATCTCCGCCGGCGTCGCTGCGATTGCAGGGGGTTCTTGTACATCAACTGCCACATGATATTCTCCTTCCCGTTGCACTCAGTAACTACCTAGGCTGTTAATTAGTTAGCGCCATGATCGCATGTGCTGTTTTAGTGGGAGTTAGCTTCGGGGTTAGATGAGTAGTGGCCGCAGAGAGTGCATTTTCTACCATGCACGGTATATACCGTGCATTGATCAGCCGCTTAATTATTTTAGGATTATAAAAAAATCACAATGTGCTAACCTGCTGTACGTCTTACTTTTCTCCATCTTTCTGCCACATGGTCAATTTGTGTGTGTGTCAGCCTTTTTAAATAGTGTTCTTTTGTTTGGATGCCTCTCCCTTTTGCAGCTCTATCCCAAAAATATATTTTCTCTTTCTATTTAAAGATTTGGATGCTTGATATCTTCTGAAATAAAAGTTTGTGTTATATTCTATTTGGACAAATGTGTCTACTAATGAGATATTTTAAACAAAATTTATACAAAGCTGATCTATAAAAAACTCGATGAAACTTTGTACATATAGTTGTATTTTACAGTTTCGTAAGGTCTCTCCATGTTTCATATTTGAATTTTAAAATTTGTGAAAATATATTCAAGAGTAATCTTATTTCAATGTTCTCTTCACAAGGAACATAAATTTGCAAATGTATCATAAATCAAACTTACAGTTCAAAAGATAAAATAAATTTTAATTTTAGAATCATATGAAAAAACCCTGAGTGAGTGTAGTACTGCTTGTTTCTACTTTGTGAGTGAGAGAAGAGATATTACAGATAATAACTACGGGAAAAAGTTCTCATGAGAAATAGTGATTGATTGATATGACATAAATTAATAGAACAAGGGGTCATAAATTGAGGTTAACTAAGCAACACAAAGACTAGATGCATGCACGGATCCGAATCTCAAAGACAACCGGTGGCTGATACATGCATGGTATATATCGTGCATGGTAGAATGTCTTTTCTCTAGTGGCCGCACCCTTGTGTGCTGCATGTTGTATAAGTGTAACACTTATGACTGAATACAAACTGTATATTGAATCTCTCTCGTTTCACATGCGTACAACATGCATCGCACCTGCTAGCTAGAACGGGAATGCACAATCAAAATCAGCGTTTGACCATGTGAGTCACGCATGACAACTCAATTTGTATATATAGCTCGGTTTTGGACACTTTTTTCATATGAGACTTTTTAATAAAAAGCCATTAGCTGAAATTAATTTTATAATAATAAAAACCTAGAAGAACCCTAAACCTACCCTAGAACCTACACCCTAACCCTAGAACCTAGGACATCAACTACACCCACCTTCTCACCATACATCGCCTCTGCTGCACTGGCTCACACGTACATGTGGGCAAGTCCAGCAGCTCGCACGCACAGGCGGGAAGCAGCAGCAGTATCGGCGATGGTAGCTCACTAGGGTCAGGTGCCCGTATGAACGTGGGCCCAGCGAATAATCCGCAGTCGTCATCGTCTTCTTCATCTTCCAGCTTCAGCTTCTTCTTCGTCCAGACACGCCGAGCTCGTGAGCCCCCTCAACGGCGGAGGAGCCGGAGCTCTTGGATGCATCCCACCGGTCATCCTCCGGGGATCCGCTGCCGAGGTGGCGCGAGAATCCCCACAGCGTCCTCTTCTCCGTCGCCGGCCGGGGAAGCACCCCGGAGCAGCCGTGGCTGAGCTCTGCCGAGGTGGCGCGAGAATCCCCACAGCTTCCTCTTCTCCGTCTGCGGCCGGGGAAGCACCCCTGCGTCTTCTGGCGTCGTGTTCATCTTCATCATTGTTCATCTTCATCATCACCTGCATGAGCTTGTGCCGGGGCGCGTCCCAGCGCTCTCCGGCGGAGGAGCCGGAGCTCTTGTGTGCATCCCACCGGTCATCCTCCGGGGACCCGCTGCCGGCCGAGGTGGCGCGAGAATCCCCACAGCCTCCTCTTCTCCGTCGCCGGCCGGGGAAGCACCCCTGCGTCTTCTGGCGTCGTGTTCATCTTCATCATCACCTGCATGAGAATCTCAAACACAACTTGTTAGCGAGAGTGCTTAAAACTTAATTGGAATTGCTTGGCCAGGGGGGCCAATGGCGTTGATTGCGCCACGCTATTTATTTTGGTAATTCTATCTGAAAACTGGCGGTATGGGACTAAACATAGCGGGGTTCAGGTCCAACAGTTATCATTAATTTTATACAGTCGGAAACTAAACTATTAGCAGTTAAACTGATGTTCGTGTGGTCATGACGGCGATATAATTATCTGTATATACGTAGCGCGGCTCGTGGGTTCAAATCCTCGTATTGCCATTTTTATTTCTGTATTTTTTACGTTTTACTTTTCGCTTTGATAGAGCAGCCAACGAAATGAAAGGACCATGTTCAAATGTTTTTTTTTGAGGGGTTGTTCTAATATTTTTCTTATTAATTGGAGTCTAACTTTTTTTTTGCGAAAAGTTGGAGTCTAACTTGACTGACGTATGTATGCATGGACGCAATCATGTCATTGTGGCGTGAGTACATTTGCATGCATGGGGGTGTTCACGTACAGCTGAGTGTTCATGATGAGCGACTGCTGGTTTCACATCTCTCTCTCTCTCTCTCTCTCTCCCAAGTGCCAAGAGCTTTTCTTCATTTGGTCCATGGTGGACGTGGGGATGAGATGCATGAGTCCTAGCCCCATGGCGGGAGAAGTGCATATCGGGTGCTCTCACCCCTCACAGGGGTCCATATGCTCCATCTTTCAAAAACAAATTTAAACGTTTCTAGAATTTTTGTTTATTTGTAAATGTCACTACAGGAAAATCATAAGTTGCATAGTAGCTCGCTGTAACCCGAGTGTCATTTCACGGGTACTCGACTCGGCTTATATACGTGTACGCCGAGTACCAAACCCTACTCAACACTCTTTTTAAGAATTCGTCCGATTAACAAGTTAACTCACCAATTAATCCCTACTCATAGGGTCACTGAGTAGTCGATAAACTAGTAAATCTTTCAATTAGTGGATTAACTTGCCAATTAGCCTATTAATCCGTTACTCGTCAGCCAATCGAGCAGCTACCAGTAAACGATTTCCTCAATAATGCTCAACACAAATGTTGACCTCGGCGTAGACGACACTAAGCCGAGAATCGGGAAAAGGACCTCTGCTTCCAACAAAACACTCGGCATAGCGTGTAGAAAACACTCGTCTTAGAGTTCCCTCTCAGCAAAGTTTTTCCCACATGGCCATCACGACAGTGATTGACGACTACATTTTTTTAGAAAAGGAGGATGACCCCCGGCCTCTGCATCTGGGCGATGCATACGGCCACAATTGACGCCACGATTGATGACTACGTGACGGGGTGCCCTATATGCCGCGTGTTTTACAATATGCTCGACGTGTATGGAAAATAAGTGAAGTGCCCAAAATAGGACACTCGGCTTTCACTTTGCATCTTTTTGCTCACCTATTTCTTAATGCAAAAATGACTTTTATATGTCCTTCGTTGCATAATTTTTTATTTATTGCTTTCTATTTATTTTCTCTGTCTTTCTCACCCATTCTCTCGTGCCAGTTTTCATCACCCTCTCAATGCCATCAATTTCCCGTCCACTCTATAATCCGCTACTTTAAAGTTGTGGTATTCCCTTGTACTCTCCACACCCCTAGTGTACACCCATATTAGGATCACATGAAAAAGGAGAAGTGTGGTTCCCAACCTTACTCGTGTGATTTGATGCATCCCCTGTTTGGGGTTTGCCTTGAAACATCTACCCCCCTAGCTTTCTCCAAATGGGAGGGGCTGCAAGAGAGAGACACAGTGAAATTCCATGTGTAAGTTAGCCAGATCAAGTCCCGTCTAGCTAGCCGCCGCCTCCCAAAAAAGGTAGGGTTTCTCTGCCTCCCGCTGGCGCCGGCGCCGGTCCACCCCGTCTTTGGCGGCCTTAGGGCCATGGGGGCGGAGTGAATCCTGGCCCTCGCCGGTGGGAGGTCTTCGTTCTTAGATCTTTTTTCGAGTTTTGTTAGGGTTTGCGTACCGCTCATGAAGGTGAGATGGCGGCGGCTTCCTGAAGATGGAATAAAGGTCTTCCTGCTCAGTCCCTGTTCCGTTGATGCGTCTAGCATCGTCGGTGGGCGTGTGGAGGTGTGTCTCCGACGGACCTGTCTTTGGTGGATTGCTCGGATCTGTTCGTCGTTCGTCTATGTTCTGGTATCCTCAGGTTGGATCCTTCTAATCTACACTCTTCATCGACGACGGTTGTTGTTCTGGTGCGTTGCTTCTATGGGACCTTAGCACGACGACTTCCCAACTGCCTACTACAACAAGGTTTGCCGGGCTCCGGCGAGGGAGGGGCGATGACAGCGGCGCGCCTTCGGCTCGCTTCAATGCTTGTAGTAGACGCTAGGTGGTCTACGGATCTGGATGTAATTTTTACTATTTCTAGTGTTCGTTATACTATCATTATTGAAGATGAATAGATTTGAAGTTTTTTCGAAAAAAACCATGTGTAAGTTCTGGGGTATTCCATGTGAAAGTTGTGGAGTCAGTTTTTGATCACACCTGAAATTTGTTAATGTACTGTATGTGTTAAAATTTTGAACATGCTAGATAATCGAGTGTACTTGAACCCACGATATTTTCTCCACTGAAGAGATGGCAGGAGAATTGACGAGAGCAACAAGTGCATGGCGAGCTCAAAACCAGAGGAGTGACGAGATTTGGACAAACTAGGACAACAGCGTGATACAATATGTTGGATATATTGCATTTTTTAGCAGGGTGCCCCACGCACATGACACCCGCATGCACGGGACCCACACATCCTAATATCCCATCCGCGACACGAATGAACCACTCCATCCGCGATGCGCACGCCACCATTTCGGCAAAGTTAGCTATCCACACACACATGCTACATCTTCCATCTCACGCGCACGAGACGTGTGCCGCCTCCTCGCCGCCCACACGCTGCATCGCCTTGTTGGCTGACGGCACGCACTGTGCCGCCGTGGTTGTCGCCGTCGTCTGCAGGGGAGGAGCTTGTACCGCCAGCGGCTTCTGCTGTTGCTTGACGGCGACGACCCTCTTGCAGGCGGCCATGGTGAAGGTATGGTCGGCAAGCGGGACGACCGGGAGGTTGTCGCAGTTGCAGATCTCGATCATGAAGCCGTCAGGGTCGTGGAAGAAGATCTGGTCCACGTAGATGCCGCCCTCCTCCACGCACCGCTGGATGTACGGGATGCCCAGCTCCTTGAGCCGCCGCTCCACCGCCATCATGCTCTCGCACTGCAAAGACATGCATACACACACGCACCGCAAATCATTCATCTCGGGAAGCGTACAACATAAGTTCATTCTTGTCTCGTCATCGAGCAATCAGTGTTTTTGAAAATATTCAATTGGAGTAGTAGTACGTACCTGGAACGAGATGTGGTTATCCTTGGGGTTGATCTCCGTCTTCCCGGGCAAACTCTGGGGCTCTTCACATTGCAACAGGTGGATGCCGATCCCATAGTTAAATAACCTTCATTCGCAGCAAAAATCATCAACCACTTCTCTCTTGATAAATATACTAGTACTATTGATGTGGTTTTCTAGCTATTAAATTTCATGCATCAACCAGTTGTAAATTGCTTAATCCCAAAGATGATGATTCAATTCTGTTTAATTACCATGCGCCGTTGAAGTTGAAAGATCCGGGGCGGCGGATGGGGATGAAGCCCAGGACATTCATGTAGAAGCGTAGCGACTCCTCCACCGAACTGCAAACGATGCTGATGTGGTTCAGCGATGCCAATGGCAGCACGCCGCCGCTCGCCATTGCCGCTGTCGTGCGTGCTTACCGCGCGTCCTCACCTACCAGGCTATCACTGAACTATTGCCTCAAAGCCGATGGTCGTTGCTGGGACGATCTATCATCTATGCCCATGAAATTGCAAGCGGCGAATCTAGGTGCAATGGGCACATCGTCCAGCATGCACCTGCGCGCATGCGTGAGAACGTGAGATGGTGGTCTCTTCCAAAATGTTGGAGCTGTGCCGATGAATATATATACCCTGTTGCTATTATATATGTGGGGAGGCCGGAGAGGACAAGAGAGGGTCATAATTAGGATGGCTGGGGCAAGAACAAAAACGAGGAGTCCCAGTTCTTCCGAAATGTAACACGAGCGACATGTTTTATATGTAAAAAAACTATATTTATCCTAACCATATTTAGTCATAAGTATGCCTGTAATTCTTCCCAATTGATGCCGGACAACTGGATTAACTAGCTGCAAGGACGGTGTAAGACCGCTCGTAATAGGGAGTATCATATATGAGGGACATACTATTGTATGATATACCATCTCTGTAATGCATAATATTATAGATTAGTGAAAATGCTTGCATCTAAACCATCGTGTCAGCTAGTGCTTATGTTAGCCGTTGGATGGTGAGGTCGACGAATCCTATGTCGCCGCCGCGGTGGTCCGCGACTTTCGCCACGGCGTTCCTTGATGGCACATCAGACTGGCGTCCATGCTCCCTGTTCCTTGGCCGTCCATGCTCCCTGTTCCTTGGCCGTCCATCCACCTTCTTATTCCCGCAGGACGACGACTGAAAGATCGAGGAGGGCCATCATTTGTGCGATGGGGAGAGGATTACGACCGGCAATGAGATGGTGCTCATCAAATATGTTGTGTGTGTCCGTCTCTATGTCTTCCCAAATCAGCGATGGCTGACCCTAGGTCCCCGGGCTCTTTCACCGGTGGTGACCTTCCCATGGACCGGATCGCGGTTCGAGGCCCTCATCATTGATGATGTGGCCAACCCGAGGACGCGTATGTGGAAGTCCAGTAAGTGAATGATGTTCTCGTAGAAGCGGATCATGGCGGTGGCACCTCACCCGGGATGCACGAGATGAGGATGGTGTATGATGGTCTACTGTAAAGGCTAGGAAGAGGAAGGCGGGGGAGGAACCAGTGCATCAGTTTTCGAACGATGATGGTTTCTCACTGCCGGCCTCTCGCTTCTGGGATCAGAATCGTTCACCGTCGCCGGCAGCTGCGTCAAGTCAGGTACATGATGCTTCTATTTTGAGAGTTTTTACGGTACCCTATACCGCTGACGGTGAAGGAAGCGGTATATTAAAATCTAACCACTCATTTTCTAAGGGTAGGATAGACATAGATTTGTTGGCATGGGAACCGATAATGGCGACCGGAAATTTATTTGTTGTCCCATGACTCCTCAACGGTTTCCTTCGGCATCCTGTTCCTGTAGCCGGAGACTCGATGGTGACGTCCCCTGAGCCGGCCATCCTCGACCACGACCTCCGCCTCTAGCTCGTCTCCTTCATCGCGCACCCGAGGACCACCGCCGGCATTAGCGTGCTCCCTTGCCGTCTCCTCTACGTCCCCGGCCATCTTGTAGCTTCTACCGAGCCCGTAGTGAGCCGTTGCTCATCCCCGCCTCCTTTCACATCGTATTCATCCACCATAGCATCGTCTCACTCAAGTCGGCGCTCTTTCCGCCATGGATGAGTCCCTGGAGCTCGTCCCGCATGTACACACCTACCCACGCGTGCGCCCGTTTGCACTCCATGCCCGCAGGAACAGCCGCAGCGCACGCGCCACAGCCCCGCAGTGTTCCCGCCTCCCGCACGCGAGCAGGCCCGTAGCCTCGCGTCGCCTCGCCGCCGTCGGTGGTCAGCGCATGCCGCGATAGCCAGACGCCATGGTCTCGCCTGCCCAGCACGGCCAACCGCCATCGCGGAAGAGCAGCGTGCGCCGGGAGATATCGGATGTCCAGAAGGCATCACCTCAGTTTCGAGGTGCTCCACCTTGCCGGCCCAGCCATCCTTGCCATGGCGGTCCAGCCCCGGAGGCGAGAAGGCGGGCCTGAAGGCGTCGACGCGGCCGAGGCGCCGAGCAGGGGTGAGGCGGCGCACACTGTCGGATGGCAAGTCGACGGAGTAGACGAGTGCAAAGCTCCGACCTGGGGCGCCTCCAGGGATGGGGGAGAGCAGCGGGGCATCTATGGATACGAAGATGAGGAAAGACCAGTCGCAGCCTCGCGATGGAGCAGCGGTGTAGGCGTGGCGGGTCCTCATCTAGCGTCTAGCGGCGGGAGGAAAAGGAGGAGGGTGGAGTTACGGGAAAGAGCAGCGGGGTGTTGATGGCGAGGAAGATGGCCTAGGTCGACAACTTCCTGATTCGCCAAAGATGGCCGGCTCAAGCCGGCGGCGGCTGGAACTCACGTGGGCGGGCAGGCGGAGTGTGCTGAATTTTCTTACTTCCCAAAATGCACTCAGGACTTGTATACTGGAGGAAGGAAGTTAAGCAGTGCAACCTATACCGCTGGCGATTCTATCGCCAAATTGGAGCAGCATAGATAGGTGGCCACCATTGGATTTAACAAATGGATGGCCAATATTTATCCCCGGGTACCATAAAAGAGCTCTCTATTTTGGCTAATGAGATGACTTGTTCTTGTATGTCTTAGTTGGGTCACTCCGTCGTTAGGGACACTACCACCGCTGTTGTCGAGACTGAGGTTGAAAAAATTGCTCGTTCCAAACTCCACTAAGATGGGACTTTTTTCTAAATAGAGTTTGAGTTACAGGAGCCCACAAACCACAAAACGAGATTATATTGACAAAAGGCCTAATTTCTTGACAATGCGTTGACCTAAAGCTTCATTTCATCGATGGACATGGTAAGGTCTTGTACAATGCAAGACGCTTAGGGGGGAGGGCCTAGAGAAATAAATCAATCTTTCTTTAAGCACCAGTAGGGACGTAGCCAGGCCCCGAGCTACGTATGACATGGCCTTGGGAGTGGAGTGAAAGTCCTTCGTTGACTGTAGCTGCAGTATGCGACTGTAGCTACAGTAACTACTATAGCGCCAAGGGTGGCCTGGGGCGTGGCCAGATCCTGCCTACGGCATTGAGCACCGGTGCTTATTCGTAGAGGGTAGCCGCTTAATTAGGCGTCTCTCCTGTAGAAATAGGCACTGGTGCTTCAGAAAAAAAACCCGGTTTATTTTTCTAAGCAGCTTCCTAGGCACTAGCACCGTACAAGGCCTAAGCAAGGTCATAGGAGGGACACTCTTATTTCGGGAGACCTATCATTTCTCTCGTTCCAAATTGACCAATACACGAGCATGGTGAGAGCTTTCCTATTGGCAACATCAGCCCAGAGCGGTTGGTCCACCGACTCGCAACACTTTGTTCCAAAAGCCACGTTGATGTGTCCATGCTCACGAGCTAGAGCTTGTCAATGACCAACTGCCAGAGACGGAGAGTGTACCGACATTTGAAGAAGGGATGGGAGCCAGATTCTTACACCCTCTTGCAAAGCAAACAAATATCACAATTGATGGAGATGGGAGTTTGTTCCTCTTGGCGATGTGCCTTCCTAGTCCACTTCTTGTCTTGAGATTTTGCAGATGGTGGCAATTTTTGAGTTAAAAGTCAAACCTCATGATGTTGTAATTGCTATCAGTGTATGGAAATCCAAATCTGACAAAAGCCCAAGATATAATTCGCTAAAACCAATCTGGGTACACATCACCGGTGTTTCACCGTCACTTTGCCATTTTCTTGGTTTATGGGCAGTGGGATCTGTCATCGGCTCAACTCAATACATTGACTTGATCTTCTTGCGTTGTCGTCGCATTGTGCATATCCAGGTGGCTAAGCTAAAGTTAAACATGTTAAAAACATTGATTATGCTGAGATTACATTAGTCTCTCCTTATACCAAATGATGGTCCTGACCATGGGGCTAATCGTGATGATGAGATGTATAAATAAAAAACCTGCAGGTACTGAGGTCAGTGGCAGTACCTGAGATTCAGTCTGAGGGCATCGTATAATTTGTTGCCACTTTGAGAGGTCCCTCACAGTCAGCATGCACTGAAGGAGCCATACAGCTGGACATCATCTGGTAAAGTGAGATGCTGCCGTCGGAGGAGCCATACAGCTGAACATCATTTGGTAAAGCGACACCATCTACACTGCTGCTACTACCGTGCTGGAGGCCTAGGAATTTCCTATTCGCCGCATTAAGCGACAGAATGTCGTTGCTTCACACAGGGGCATCGCTTTAATGGGCCGACTCAATCATGCTATATAGTTTACTGGTTTTAGAAACTCTGGTCCAAATTTGGTTTATGTTTCTAACATTTCTTTTACCAGTTTTTTTCTTTTTCTGAAATAAATGATGGGAAATTTTATTTTCAATTTTTTAAAATATATTTGGAATTCAAAATAATTTAGAAATTTAAAAAACTGACCTATTTTCAAATTTTGTTCAAAAATTGAAAAAAGAACCTTGTTTCTGAAAATTATTTAGCGAATTATAAATAGTGTTTGTGCTTTCCAAAGAATGTTCATATTTTCAAAAAAAATTCACAAATTAAAAGAATGTTCACGTTTTTGGAGAATGGTCGAGAATTTTAAAAACTGTTTGCGCTTTTCAAAGAATGTTCCCATTTAAAAAAATTGTTCACATTCCAAAAATATTCATGGTATTATAAAATGTTTGGAAATTTAAAACATATTTGCCTTTCCCGATTTTTTTGGGGAATTTATGAATAGTTCCATTTAAAAAAATCTTAAATTAAAAATATGAATACATTTTTGAAAAGTTTTGGGAATTAAAAATAATCTTTTTCAAAAAAACCTTTTCAATTTTTTTCTCAAATTCATAAAATGTTTCAAAATTGGAAAAAGTGGTGCGTTATGCAAAAAATTGTGCCAAATTTCAAAACATTTTCAAAATGTATTCATAAATTCAAAAAAATATTCTCTACAATACAAACAAAATCTTGTTACC